ATTTTTTTTATCCTGTATACAAAATTTCTACCAGAAGGAGTGCCTCGATTTCAATATGTAGTATCTTATCTTTTAGAAAATTGGATCAAGATGGTACTTTAGGGAGGTAATTTTTTGATTTTCTCAATAGTTATTTAATGCCACGGGAAAAACCACCAAAAAATTACAAAAAATCTCTAAAAATGGGATTTTAATTTCTATCGCTTTGTTTATCACTATGGAAACGAATAAAAAATAAATAAATAAATTTCAATATTAATTCAACTTACGGGCTATAATAAATAATGACAATATAAAGTATCCAGACTGACAAACCGTCTCCGCTCAGAATCGTTTTTCTTATACAATGATATTATATCATTGAATTCAAATTTAATACAATCCATTACACAGTGACCAACTTGTAACCTACTGTACAGCAGAGCGACATGCACTTACCCACTTTTTTAAATCTGTTTTATACATATTATTATTTAATAATTAAAAACTCAAACATTTTAAATCGTCTTATAAATATGGTATATTTATTTAATAAAGAGTATAATTGGGTGGTGTGGAGGCTTTGCCCCCCGTAGCTCGGTTTTCTGAAAACTATCTGGACCCTCCCCATGACAAATTCCTAAATACGCTACTGGACTGTAATGGTTAAGGTATTAGGTAATGTAAATTGTAATTATATTTTACTATATTGTATACATGTTTGTGCAAAGCACGGGTGAAATAATTAGTAAGCAAATAATATATATTATATTTGTTTGCGTAGGTAACTATATTTGAATAACAATTTTTGTATAAATCATTTGCACATTACATTAAACATTTACATAGGTACAATTTTAGAGAACACAACCCTTAGCCATAATATCTATATATTATATATAGTACATATTATGATATATACCTACATACGTTTAACAGAATAGTTTCATTGGAAAATAGAAACTGTGTTTTGAAATTTATTTTCCGAGAAGTTGAAAATATAAAAACTACCTATACGGCTATACATATGTATATCCACTGCTATAATATGCAGTATATTTATTTGGTGTAGGCATATAATATAATAATTAATAACTTATAAGTATACTATATTCAGCTCGTTCCCCTGCACTAGAAATTTTTCTAAAGCCTGATAGATGTATCCAGGGCCTAAAATACATCTGATATCGGGGGACACACTTATTAATTTAACTGTTACCTTTGGGCTTTGATAGATTTCTAAAGCAAAAAAAACCTGTGGGGGTTGTTACGCCCAAAATCCCCTCTCTTTTATATACCACTTTCCTTACACATTAATAATTGACAATTGTCACAAACAATCACATTTGTCATTCAGTGGACACGCTTTGATTTTCAAGGGACAAGAAGTGTGTCCGGGGACACAGTATTTTAGCCCATGCATACATCTATCAGGCTCTAGAAAAATTTCTAGTGCAGGAGAACGAGCTCAATATAGTATACTTATATAAGCAAAGGTGGGCAAGTTAATGAAAATAATTAACTCAAGTTAAATTAAGTTAAGAGGACACAAGATCGATTAGTTAAAAGTTAGCAGTTAACAAATTATAAATTTAACTCGATAAGTTAAAAGTTCATATAGAAAAAAATATTAACTTAAGTCAGTTTAAAAAAAGTTAATCTATTTTAGATTCTGAGTGAATAATGAATGTATTGATTTTACAATGATGTGTGTTTTTTTTTTTGTGTCTGTCATCACGTTTTAGGACAATAAAAATGCTTGGATTTTCTTCAACAGTATCTTTTCTCATAGGAAAGTGAATCTAGTTGGTACTTTGGGGAGTCAAAAGTATAATTTTTTTAGTAGTTTTCAAAAGTGCCGTGAAAAACAAAAGAAAAATTAAAATAGAACGGGAATTTTTACACACAATCTGTTTTCGAAAAAAATAATTTTGGTTTTGGTGCAACCCTTAAATAAATGACCGTAGATACATAAAATTTTGACTGAATGTTTATATTAGCATTTTCTGTACACGATAAAATTTTCAAAATATTATGATTTGATTTGAACTGTTAAGGAACATTTTCATTTTCCATATTTTTTTAGTTTTTTTCTAAAAATATCAATAAAATTGTATTTGTTGGTTAAAAAAGCTTGAAAATTTAATAGAGGGCTATTAGTATATTGTTTCAAAGGCAAATGAAAAATATTAAAAATCCTTGGTAAATTTTTTTTTATAAGCATTTAAAATTCAAAAATTGACAAAATATGGATTAATCACGAAAATTAGCAAATTATTTTGAGTTAAGAATTCGTAAAAGTTTTTCTTTTTAAATCTAAGATTTTAAAATGTAATACAAGATTCCTTATAAGATTATCTACCTTTATCAAAAAAAAAAATGTCTATAAGAAAGTCAAATTAATTTTTATGAGCGTTCGAAATTCGTAATATTTAAGTATAAACGAACAATTTCAAAATGTTTTAACTTAATGGATTTTTTTAAATCAACTGAGAAAATCTAAGTTATTTCAGTTGTAAATTAAACTATTTAAGTTTATAAGTTGATTAGAAAATAAACTAACTAGTTAAGTTAAAATGTTAAAAAAAAATTAACTTTTTAACTGAACTTAAACTTTTCAACTAGTTAATGCCCACCTTTGCTTATAAGTTATTAATTATTATATATACACTAAATAAATATACTGCATATTATATAATTAATTTTAATACGTAGGTACATGAAATAATATAGATAACGCTATAGATTTCTTTTATATTTTGTAGCAAATTGATGGTCAAATATTGTTGTATTACTGTATTAACCGTTTAGGTAGGTACTGCCGAAGTGTCGAATGTTAATAAATTGCAACATCTTTATCATTTTGGGGGAACAACCGTCGACGAAATCAAGTGAAATTGTAAAACCACGGTCACGGTTAAGGACAGTACCTAATCGTGACCGATATCGAAATTAATAATTATATTGCACTAGTCACTATGACTATATAGTGTCTTCTCTAGGTACGTCATACGGAATTTGTGAACTAGTTATTGCAATATTTTTTTCGGTAGTTATCCGTTTTCTCCACGTTTGCCCGATTCTTGATCAAACCATTTTAGTATCATCATCCGCGATCGCGTAATATTATTAATTATTATCGTTATTAAATATTAAGAATTATGATTTTAAATCATGTTGGCGGTAGAAAAATCCGAATATAGGCCCTATATATAATATAATATATTATAGAAAGCACTTTAGTCATGTCTTTATAGTGGTGTGCAGCAGTGTGACATTATTCTGGTGAAACGGTCATTGTAAGTGAGCTCGTATCAACCGTCAACTGATCAATGACGAAACGGGTTGCCACTCACCAGTCACCACTCACCACTCACCTGTGGACAGCGTCCAGTTTTCCGATAGGATTCTGATGGGACCACGTCAAGGTAAGACGCACTCCAGTCACCTACGAATGGGTTATACTATTATTTATTTACAATTCACATTGATATAGAGGTATTCTTTGTGAGGGTAGACTGTATCTTTATTATAATATTATAGTGTATATTATACGAGAGTACAATTGCCGTTTTTTTAGAAGTTATTGTGCTTACATAATATAATTTACAAAGTGTGAAGTATATACTATAGGTTTGAAAATTCAAATAAAACCTGTCCTGTTTATACTTTATACCACCGTACCTAGTACCAATCGGCTTTATTTTATTAAACCAAATTCACTATAGGTGGTCTTGTTTTTTTTTTTATTTTAAGACTTAAAAACCTACTTTTACGTACATACCTAATTTGAAATGTTTAATACCTAAAAAATGGATATCGTGGTTACACACCCACTTATTTTCTGGTCAAGAACACTTAACTCCTGGTGGATTCCTATGGATATGTCTTATTATGCCAGACCACCCCTGCCTGCGGGTGTTTTTAGAACATAAAATAAATAAAAAATGTCAAGAGGCATAATAGACACTTTGGTCATAAGTGGTGGTGGTGCATTCAATACCTTTACGCTTTGCCTTAAATATATTATAATATATTTCGATACTCGAACGCCGCTGCAGGGACCCTATGACCTCGCTGGGTCACCCCAACCGTATATGGATGGGCATTAGGTCGGATCGCGATGAGGGTCGCCCCGTGAGGACGGTAGCGGGCCAGGGGAATTATCGTTGTTTCGGCGTAACGAACAAAACGGGACATCGGGACGAACGTATCTAACCGGCACTCGTCCTTTGGTAGGGGTGCAATTGGAGTGGGCGGGGGGGCTCGCTTGAGGAGAAAAAACGCGGACGCGGTCGGCGGGGAAATTCATACGGTGCACGTGTTGCGTGTGCTGCGCTCTGATGCCCGGGAACCAACCAAACTGCGGTTCCCTCAGCTGTTGCGAGAGCGACGGCCGCCACCTCCACCATCGCTGCCACCGTTCCACCGCTACCACCACCAGCCCGCCACTGCATCCGCCGCCGCCGACGCCGTTCTTTGTCGTCATCGTCGCCGCCGCTGCCGTCGTCCGTTCACCGACCGCCAGTCACTATAGTCAGTAGTCACCGCTCGCCAGTCAGTCGTTCACTTTCCGTGCCGCACGTCGTGTCGCGCGCGCGTTCCGCGTTTCGTCCGCAGTCGCAGTGCAATCCGGCGATAATAAATGATAGTATACTATCGAAGACAATAATATCCTGCGACAACATTCCGCCTCTCTGGTGTCCTATAAACCCGTACATCATCCTTCACCATCTCTGTCGTAGCCCTGTTTTGTCGGTCTCGCTTGCGTTTATCGTCGTATTACTTTCGGTTTACAATAATAAGAACACTTATCCTCACGCGAATGGCCTGGCAAGTTTCGTCGCTGTTGCGACGGCCGCGGTCGACGGCATGAAACGTTCGTTGGCCCTCGGCGGTGCGGTGCATTGCGAAAACATGCGTCCGCGAAAAAAAATCGGCCGACCCGCCGCAGTGTGACGACGATGAAGGGCACGTGAAACGCCGCCGCCGAGCACGGGGCGCTTAAGCCGCGCGACGACATGTGGCCCGCGGCTTCGCCGACGGCGCTCGCCACTGCAACGACCGTGGCCGTCTTCCTGACGGTGGTCGTCGGAAAGTTTGGACGGATAAGTTCTACCCCCGTCCAACAACCAGGTACACAACCTAATATTATATTATTGTTCTTAGCCATGTAATGTAGGTGTAATTAGAATTACAATAAGTAAAAGTTTGTCTTGTCAAAAGCTCGGGCGTTCGGAGATCAGTGTTTATAAACATCAATCGAAAAACCGGATCACTAGATGATATAGTTTGGACCATCCTCCCCAAATGGTTCGAGTTAAAAATATAATATAATATTCAAATTGAGTGTAAAGTGTTACCTTGGTACTGGATCCACACAAAAAAAGACACTACACAGTGAATATACCTACCCCTTTACTTAGTTACTCTGTACATGCAGTTACCCATATTATATTACTACATAGAATATTGACACATTATAGAATCTGTACTACAGATTGTGACCGCCTTACCGGTTACCACCTACCTTTAGCTTCTATGTATATAATATTATAATATACTATAATGTGTACTCGGGTATTAAGAATTAAATATGTTACGTCGAGTATTTTATTATACATACTAATATGCTAGGTATACGGTATACCTATATATTATATACTTGTGTCCTGTGTCAATATATAATTCCATTATCATCGGACGACCTCGTCTCAATAATACATACATAATAATATAATAGTATATAATACACATAATATACAATACGATACATAAACGTATCTAATTGCCCGTGGGATGGACGGCCATCGTAGCTTTCTCTTGTGTTCTTGCAGTCGGGGCCGCCTACGCTAAGCCGCGTTTGTTTATACAAACGATTCGACCGAAGAATGTCGTCTGCGGAAACCGTCGGATTTATATATTGGCGTTCGCCGTTCAGTCTCTGTACAGTATCACAATACGCAGTGCTTGATATTTTTATGTATTAGAGGTTGTAGATATAGTACTACCACATTATACTTTCAATGGCATGGGTAGGTGTAGGTACCTATAATACTTACAACTTACTGTAATAATATTATGCGTATTCATAATTATTGCCTGGTGGAAGAGTATTGGTTTTTCATGTATTTCGACAGCACGATTTGTGTTTAGAGCTTAGATCCTATGATATTATAATAGGTATAATGTTTTACATATATGGGCGGGTATATTGACCACCTATTACAATATATTACCCTTATGCCGGGTTGCATTTGCACAAACAATCACTAAACATTTAAATATGGAGCAATAGCTAGTAAGCTATACAGCATTTAGTAACCTATGATTGGTCCATTCAATTTTAGTGAACCATTCATTTTTTTATGCAACAAGGGGTATTACTGCATTAGTGATTAGTGTCATAACATTTTAGTAATTTTTTTAAGTTTAATTTTGTGATTGTTGTGTTGTATATTTATATTTTTTAAATAAAAGTCCTCCCTCTCTTGAAAGAGCTTTTGACGTTATCTTAGAAGAAATACAAATATAAGTTTAAGATATTGATAATATTTTTGCTATTTTTTTTTTTTAGAAATATTTGTAGTTTTGTTTACCTAATATAATAATATGTTAGATAATATAATATTATGTAGATTGTAGGCAATACATAGTATAAGTTGCACTATAATATTATACTGTGGAAAGTTGATTGTAATTTATAATGAATAAATAGGTATATAATAATTGATTGAATATACGAGTATGTATACAATTAGGTATTTAGGTATATATATATATAATATAGTAATCGATAATCCCGTTTTTATCCGGTTATCGATGGTATGTTGAAAATATCTTAAGTAGCTAAGCCATACTTATAAAATATATTTCGTTGGAAAACTAACTAAAATTTGGAAACAATATATCAACAAAAGCTCTCGGGGAAGTAAGAAATAAGCTTTTATTTGTAATCGACAAAAGTAAAGTAGGTAATCTGTATTTTGTACGATTTCATAAAATATATCCTGGTTGACAACTTTGTAGTTCTATGAATTTCATAATGTGCTTCACCAAAACCAAGTTCGATTTATTTAACTTATTCCATATAGTAAAATGCAATTAATAGAAAATGTTACTTGGTTCATATTTAGATTAAAAATTGAACTTTGGTGGTTCATAATTTTTGAGAAAAACTGTGAAAACTTTGTATATGTACGGTAAAATCATTAACATTTATAGCTAGTTATTTTTAAGAGGATATTACTATAATCCTACAAAACACTTCGTGTCACCTATAATATTCATGTGATATCACAGCATTTGATAGGAAACTGACAGTAAAATGCGAGGTAAAATGTATCTACCTACTTCATTATTTTTTTATTATACAAGAAAACCATGCGTTAGTTTTTATGAACATTTAAGGTTTGAATAATGATGACACTTTTAATTTTACGAATGGCGGTGATATGTATAAATAATGTTTTTATTTTTTTTTAATAAAACTTGTTATTTTGGGCTTTAAACTTTTAAAATATGAATTATTAAAATAATACTTATAAATGTATTATTTCAGATTAGATATTGAAACATATTTTAATATAACAAAATTGTACAGATTCATTATACTGTTTCAGAGTGAAATGTCTATATTTTTACAGATATATATTTTTACCTATATTTTAAAATTTCTTTTAATAGAATTTGTAGTTTTAAATACATTATTAGTATGAACCATACATTGTATTGGGTTATGAATACATATAGTTTTTAATACACTTAAAAATACCTTATAATTTGTTTTTGTGAACATTTTTAATTTGATAAAATGAACCAGCTTTAAACAATATAGCTTAATTATTTTTCTAATGCAATCTTGCGATCAGATTTCAAACTATAATTCAAGGTTAGTTTGTACTAAGGTGAGCGAACCTAGTCAGAGTTCTTAGCACCCTGTCTTTATATCTTGTAATGTTACACACCTTAATTTTCATACTGTAGTGTATTTTAATTAAATAATACGAGTTTTAATTATTATAGTGTTGTGGCCTGTTATTAGGTTGTACACCAACACCTTCACGAATAGAATAAAACCAATTGGTTTCCTTAATTTTTCTAGACAATATATGATTAAACTTTCATCATTTTTTGATAAAAATTGTCATAAACTATTAAACAAAATGTCGATACCAACGGTAACAGCTCCTGAAGTTAGGTAAGCCATAAAACGATGGACGATTAAATAAAAAAAAAATATGTTTAAAGTATAAACATAAATTATATCTACCTATATACTATACTATATACTATATGCTATACTCATACACCTAATTTTATTTAATATCCATAGTATAGATAAAATATAGATAAAATACTAAAATAGTTGTATAAACTGGATTTTTTAAAAAAGATAGTTGATGATTAACCCATTATTCTCAGTCGTACTTTTTGTACGATGCTGATTTTAAAAATGTGAGTGTAAAATCAGCTGCTCTAAATATATATTGTCAAGTCAAACAATGAAATTGGTAGAATAACTAGTCTAAAATGATTATTCAAAGCTGTAGGTCGGTACATAAAGTTTATATTTTAGTTTGTAAAATTCACTTTCGACCGTAGGAAATTATATAGAAATGAAAAAATATGACATTTTTCATAAAGTTGTGCTAATAGTTAACATTGTAAACAATCTTTTTTTTTTGCAAAAGCCGAATACTAATTAGATTTTTTCATTATAGTTAGGTATAGTTAAGACGTATTTAGCTTTTGGAAATTCGAGTATACTGTGCAATTGTTTGTTTTTAAAAAATAAATAATTAGGTATATACTTATACGGCTACTAGCTTACTGCGTTCTTACTATTTGTGATATTATTTGTCTGGGCAATGTTTATTGAAAAATAAAAAAATTGTTTTCTAATCATAGATGTGTTATGAATTTATGATGCATACATATTTTTACATTTTACGTTTAAATTTTCAATAATATTGATAAAAAAAAAAAGATTGTTAGTATTTTTTTTATAAACTGTATGTATAGTACTATAGTGATGTATATAACGTTATAAATTGTGTGGTGGTTTTAAGTCCGTTCGAAATTACAGCCTTATTGCTTATTGGAAACAATAATAATAACAGTAGTGATATGTGTGGTCGTAGTATTTCGCTTTCATAGAAGATAAAAAGAAAATATATGAGAAAATAGAAATAACTCACCATTGGTGAGTTGTGTAGTTTGTGTAAGATTGCAGTGAACGTGGTGGTGGGCCTGGTGGTGTATATAGTAATTTTTCGGAATAAAGCGATTGTGCCGCAGTAGGTAACAAATATGTGTCTGTTGGTAAAATGAGAAATAACACGCGTTCGACCGGAACAGCGAATGGACCATTTTCGCCTGGCCTTCGGAGCGAGATAAATAGTTATATTTCAAGAGATCAATAAAGAAAATGATGCTAAGCCGTATAGATTTATAATGTGGCAGCAACACTGTAAGTCGCTGTATCGTCTTCGTCGTCGTCTTCGTCGTTTGTATCAATCAGACTCCCTCTTTTTTTGGTTAAGAGGGAGTGGAAGTCTAGAACATGGAAACATTCTGAAAGTCAATATACGTATATACATTATATTTTATATATGTTTCCAAAATTGTCATTCTTTTACGATTGGGTGTTTATTTTATTTTATTTTTTTAACCTAGCAATTTAAAAACAGAATATTATAGTGTTGATTTAAACTTGGTATTTTATTTTAGGAATTTCGATTTCAACTTTGCACTTCATAAAGAACACGATTCGTCCTTAAAGCTATATAAAACTTACATTTATAGATCATATATTGCTTCTTAAAAAATGTCATTAAATCAGACATTAGATATTTATTTATCGAAAAAATGACTTGTTCTCAAGGCAACATACATGTTATAAGACGTTTAAAGTGAATTAGTATACTGAACATTTCAACTCAAAGATCGGTTAAAAACAACACTTATTAATTATTTGGTAGGCAGTTTTGGTTCATTTAAAAAGTATTTAAGTTATTGATACTGTTCTGGATAAACTATTAAATTACTTGTTATTTTTTTTATATTTTGTGAAGCTGTGGTATATAGGCGAGTGTCTTAAACTAATTATAACTTTAAACGAGTGATTGAAAACT